ATCTGTCTCTCTCCATTAAACACGCCAACGATCAGAGAGGCATCTGGAGATGCATCTTTAAGCTTTAATACACTTTGAATAATTAACACACGTACACGTACACACACACGCACACGCACACGCACACCCACACGCAACACACACCACACACAACAACACACACACACACGCACCACACACACGCACACACACACGCACACACACACACACACAGACACACACACAGCTGAGTCTATGAGTGGCAGGCAGCTCCCCCAGCCAGAGAGACCCAGGGGGAGAAGGGAAGCTTGTTCTGTGCCAGCCCCAGAGCCTCCGAGCTGGGCAACTCAGAGCTGTGTACCAGCCTGAGCTCCAGCAACCAGCAACAATGGAAAGACAGCTGTGACTCTGACACCCTTAGCTAAGAGACAATAAGAGAGGGTGTCTGGCTCCTGCTAATTGACTTGTTGCAGGAATAAGCGAGTGGGTGAACAAGAGGAAAGAGCTCATTGGGTTAGAGATCAAGAAGAGAAACCCGTATGGAGATAGCTGGAAAGTAGTCCGTGTGCATTCCTACATGCCTGCGTTTGCGTTTCCTGCAGCAGCGAGGTGACTTGACAGACACATATGAGCATCTAACCAACTCACTCATCATGATGATTCATCCTCCAATTAGCAGCACGAAGGCTAACGCTGATCTGCATATCTATATTCACCTTCTGTTCATCTGGAGCCCAACACAGCCTGCTAATGATTATCAATGAGGCTAGGCTACAAAGCCACCGGTTCAATCCCCAGTGCAGCAGCAATGCATTATGGACCTACTGTATTTCACTGCGTGTAAGGAGGTCAGGCCTCTGGGAAGGGGGAGAGTGTGGAAAGAAGGAGGAAGAAACAAAAGAGGAGGGATGAATGTGGCAAAATGGAAGAAAGGTGTGAGGACTAAAAAAGGGGGAAGTAAAGGGGAGAAGGATGGAATTTAGGGAGAAAGAAACTAGGTAAAAACGGAAAAAAGGAAATAATGAAAATAAGGAAAGCAGGGGGGAAAGGGAGGAAATATGAAGGAAGGAAATAAAGAAAGAAGATTACACTGGCAACAGGCAGAGCTGGGGAGTTGCAGTTTCACATATTGAAAAGGTCAGTGCCTCGATAGTTAAATAAACTGTTTCAGAACGGCTGATGCAGAACAAGCGCTGGCTCATAATGAGCACTTCTTTGGACAGATTCAGATGACTTCACTCAGGCAGTGTCTTAATGAATACATCAGGCTGAAACAAATATCCACTACAATCTACACTTTCCTAAAACACTAATAATTAAATAGAAAAAACAAGTGGTCTAAAACCAACACTATTGAATACCTCAACAGTCTTTTTATATTGGGACAAAAGGAACAAAGTAATGCAGTGCCTGTGCTGAAAGTAGTATTCTGTACTGTATCAGTGTGTGAATGGGCCTGGAGCATGTCAAGGGACTGAAGTTTGTGTCCCTAACCCTGACCTTGACACTAAACACAAGCTACCATTGCCAGGCATATATCTATTGTGAAAATAATTATAAAACATTGGCATTAGACTTAAAAAAAACATCACGGAACATAATATAGGGTGATGGGGTTGGGTAAACAGTAAGAATATGACATTCGTGTTACAAAGTAATCTGTGTGCTTGTAGAAATTTGACCAGTGGGTGGGTTGCTGAAAGAAAAAAAAACTGCACTGTATTGAGGCACAAACTGCATCAGATAACGCTGTGTTGTGTTTGCCAGAGCCCTCAGCATCAGCACCTCCACTGTGCAAACTTTAATGCAGCCTTATGCTTTGACTACACAGTTGTAAAGCACACACATTTACTGTATGACTGAGCTTCAGAGCTATTCAACTTTTAGCAACTATTAAATGAATCGCCAACTATCCAAAACAATCAAATCAGATTACTAATCCTTATTCCCCTCTTATTATGTGAATTATTATAAAATATAATGTATATTAATATAATATATCAATCTTATTTGCCATGCCCACACACAGATTGTCAGTGTTCTAGTAGCTAACTCACAAAAATGGACACATCATTGAACCCAATGTAATGATTAAAGATTTTAAAAACAAATGTAATGTTTGCCGCAGTATTGTCAACAGGTTTTTGAAGACATCTTGCAAAAGCTGGGGCCCCAGTCATACACTAATGCTATTTGGGGGGCCCTTGGCATGGAAATGTTGGGGAACCCCAGAACTAATCAATTCATCAAAAAAAGGACTGACAGGTTAAGAAAATAATCATAGGCTTCAGCCCTAATGAGCTTTAGATGGCGGTTCTACCCGCATGTTTTTCTTGAACAAAGTCCAAAGTTAGAAATAAAACTTTTGAAACGATTAGAAGTAATAACAAAAAACACCTCGTAACTACTGTTTAAGTAATTTACTTGGCTATAATGCCCTTCATTTATCAGTTGTTGGCAGCATCGGTATGTGATACTTTTAGCAATGTAGGAAAGCAATATTAGGATATCATCAATAAGCAGAAGCTCAGGTCATGACAAATGATGAAACTGTTGCTGTATAGAGTTGTAGTGTTTTACACGCACACTAAAAAGACAAATAAGTCACTTCCTTTCAAAGCTCCCATCTGGGGCTGTTACTTGGCAGCCATGTTGTGTTTCTGCTGTCAATCAAGTAGCGCATTAATTCATCTGTGGGACATGAAATATCCTGAGTAAAAAGCAACCCCATGCAAAATGAATGAACAGCTCAATTAACAAGCGAGCGAATTGCAATCAATAAATGAATAAGCAGGGAAGCTTGTAGACAGGAAAACAAACGCAAACAACCCGTTTTTCTATTACTTTTTCTGTTGGTTTTTATGATTGTCTTTCCCTTTCCTATTTGAAGTCATTTGAACCAACCCCCAGGCCCAGCGCCGGCCCGGTCGGCTCTACTGGCCTGATGCTGGGATTCATTGGAGCGGAGCAAATTTGTTTGTCTCTGCATTTGTTTGTCCTGGTGTTTGTTTCTCTCATTGTTTGTGTTTGTACACATTTCTGTTCATGGCCTTCTCAAGTGTTTCTCATACTCTGGCAATTTTCTGCCTGGTCGCCCCTAATATGCCTCTCTGTTTATCTGCTGTCACAACACAGCTGATTTATATATATTTACATATCCAGGAAGTGACAGGAGAGAATTATGTTTACTTTAAGAGGGTCAAAATTATACATTAGTGGTTATCTGTTTGCAGAGGAAAAAGTGGATTTTTGTGATGTACCTGTGGCACAGATTCACAGATGCTATGAATTTGATCAGATATGAAGTGAAGTCAGCCTCAAGAAATATGACAAATGCCTTAGGGAAGATAACCAGTGTAGTGTGAATTCAATCACTTTGGCAACCTACTGCTAATGACACAGGGGGAAACTTTTTCAGGCAGCGGAGATGGGCAATATTGCTTTCAGCAGGGGCTACGAACTGGCAAATTGGAACAAAATCAAGGCTAGAGGAGATAAATGTGTGACGACAAAACTACCGCTGTTGGCTCAAGTGCGCATATGCAATGCTTCAAAATGTTTTCTATTCAGTGGCGGAGGGTATACAACATAGAGATACATGAAAACACATGCATCCGCTGCAAAAGCCCAGAGCTGTGTTTTCACTCTCTGCTGTGTTAATAACAATAATCCGTGTAAGGATGTGGTGATGGCACTGTGTGTGTGTGTGTGTGTGTGTGTGTGTGTGTGTGCGTGCGTCTATCAAAATTCAGCAAAACCCCC